GCAGTATTTCATCAAAAAATTGAAATGTCAAATTCCACTTTTAGGCTATTAATATAATAATATAATAATAATATAATAATATCTAAAATATGTTATTTGGAGAAGATTTTTTCATTCTTCTTAGTTTTAAATATTTATTATCAAAGTTAATCCATTGCTAAATTAATGATACATCTTTTTTTATTATCTGAGAATAGAATGAACTGATTGAAAGACACCCTGATTGCTATCGATGCATCCATTAGGTTTTCCAAATAGCTCCCTGGAATGTGCTGAACTAAGATGTGACGACAATCCAATTTTTGACATCTGACTTTAGTTCAGACTCAAATCCAACCCACCTGCCTGCAATTTTCCAACAATCCCCAAAGTGTTCATTTGAGCATGTTCAGATGTTTCATTAACCTCAGAGCTGATCTCTGCAGTGCACTGGCACAGACAGTAAATCTGAAGAACCCCAAGACTGTTTCTCCTTTTCCTTTCTTTCCTCTGCTCTTTTTATTTGTCAGTTCTATCTTGAGCCAAATAAACACAACAAACAAACACAGACACATCAAAACCGCACTGCAGCTCTTGTGCATGTGTGGGCTCAGGATCGATTTGCTATGTATCCTGTTATCAAGCACATGCAAAAGAACGTGTTGTGCAAGCTAACAAGTTATATAACATTTAAACCCGTAAAACTCACAGCATCGACTATAAGGGTCTAAACTGAGCCATGTTTTTCCTCTAAAGCCTTTTCCCTTTCTAACTGCCTTCCTCTGATCGTTCAGACGTTCAGCTCCATGATTGGAGTGTGACTTGATTGTGGGTGTTGAACCTTGTTGTAAAGATGGTTGGGATTGCCAATTGGCAGCGTGTGCCGTATTTAGACCCTTAAGGGGATGTATTAAACACATGTTGCAGAGCGAACTAAACGCAGCTTATTAATAAGCACAGTGTAACAAAAGAAAGAAAAAAGACACAGCCTTTAATTAGAAAATCGCCAGGCACTTTTTTTTTTTACCCATTAGCGCCCTGTTTGCTTTTTTTAAAACAAACTAGCTTTTGGCCAGAATCTTATTTTTTGGAGCTGAAGCCCTGGCGCAGAATGAAACACCTGCGATTTACAGATAAAAACACCTGCAGGAGCAGAACATAGGCGCACGGCTCAATCCCAGGTGATAATAATCTCTGTGTTGATCACAGTGAGTGCTGACTCCAATGGACAGCACCAAGAAAGATGCATTTTAAAGACTTTTAATGAGCGGACTGGTTACATGGCATTAAAACACAACATGCCACGTGCTGATCTGTTCTGCAGAGTGTGTCGCTGAAACATGAGAAATGGAGTTTCTATTCAGCGGTTTCTGCTTTCAGTTACACCTGCTGTATAAGAGCAGATTGATAGACACAAGCTGTAAAAATAATAAAGAGAAATGTGTTTTATACCAAAGACTGAGTGTGCGGATAAGCTGTTTAGGTGACTTATGGTGTGAGCTGTAAAGTGAGTCATACTGCAGTCTGGGAATTACACAGATTTAAGGTGCAAGGTTAGAGATGGTGCTTTATCAGTTTATCAGTTCAAGTTGTGGTTATATTGAAGAGGGTTAAAGGTTTAAATAATCACTGGATTTGTCTGGAGGGGCAACATTCATGCGGTTGTTGATATATTTTTTATATAATCAGTCAAATTGTTAAATGCTAAACGAAGTTAAATGTCCTGTAAAGTGCTTTGAAATTTGTTTGACAATGTCAACCGAGAAACTAAGAGGGAGGAGCATAATATAGCCCCTCCCCTTAATAACAGCCAATAGTGTTTGTTTTATAACTGCTCTGCTAGTGAGAGTGGTTGAGCACAAGCGAATCAAATGATAAGCAAATAAGAAGCATCTTGGAGGGGGCGGGGCATGTCAAATACTAGAGAAAATTTGATCTTACCCCAGACATAATAAATAATGTTCATATCTGGTGATTGGGCTGGCCAATCCTGGAGCAATTTGACCTTCTTTGTTTTCAGAAACTTGAAACTAGAAGTCAAGTTATAATGTGTTGTTCTTACAACTGGGTAAGGCAACACAACTTTTGTCAGGTAGTGTATAAATGAAATTAAAAGCAAAACCAAAGCCATAACAAGTAGCTGTAAAACGAAACACAGAAATGTAAAACAACAAACATTTTGACCTTTTTAAATATTTTAATTTAATAACTTTGTTACAAAAAACCCATATAAGTTTAGAACCCAGACTTTTCCTAAATGTATATTTCATTCTAACAGTTCTTTTTTTTTTAAATTACAAAACAAAACACAAAAGAATGAGTGTTTCTATTCTGAATGGCCATAACGGTCCAATTGACCCCATGCATTTTAGTGTCCACTACTTTTCCCTATGCCTTTGCATATTCTTGCTTCTATTGCCTAGCAACATTCTGCAAACAAAAACATCAGATTTATGATACTAAAAACATAACTTTACTTCAGACATGTCCTATAAATGTTCACTGTGGTCCAAATAAATTGCTCTCTTGCTTGTCGGACGAAGTGAGAAACACACCTTTGGGTGTGGTCTAGTAATTCATTCGCAATTACAGTATGATACTGTATTGTGTAGGGCTGCAGGTTACTGGACTGATATTTTTCTGTAATATGAATACAGTTTCAGAAGATGGGTTGAATAGCTGCATTTGATGATTTTCTGGGGAGTCTGACAATATTTAGGTACAGAATATGAATAATTACAATGCAAAAAAAATGACAGGATATCCCATATCTGGACATTGCATATCTTTGGGATGTCACTATTGCGGATGCGCATATTGCAATATCAATCCTGACATTATAATTTGTGCAGCCCTAGTATGGTACCAAAAAACATATTTTTATGTGAAAATAAAATATGATGACAGACATTCAAAGCTTAATTCTAAAACTTTAATTAAAGCTTGAAATACAAATATGATATGAAAAAAGTTGTGTTCAGTACAGTCTTATATGAAAGACCAATGGTGCATTCACATCAGACGCGAATGAAGCGTCAAGCGCAAGAGATTTACATGTTAGGTCAAAGACGCGACATCCTGCGGTGCAATTTGCACTAATGAGGCTGTGCAAATGACGCAATTCATAATAATGAAATACTGCAAATGACACAATTCACACGAATGAAGCAGCGGGAATTGAGCGTTTTGTGCGTTTGATCATGAATTGCATGTTTGCGCGAATCACTCGAGTTGTAAAATCTGAACTTTAGCAAACATTTGTGCCACGTTAACCATACAGGAGCTTTCTCTTGTAGGGGCTTGATTATGATGTAGCACCCGTTGTTGGTGTCCTGAGGGGAAATCCTCCAGCTGACATTTTCATCAAATTGGGCTTGGCTCAGTCGGAAGCACCGCTGAAAGCTTCCATCATCTAGGTATAGTTTCTGGAGGAGTTTATGAACTCGCAGAGCTGGGTGTACCTCACAAAGGTTCTAGTGGACTGAAAGAATCTATGCTGATTTTCAGTCTTCCTAAATCACAGCTAATTAAAATTAAGCACAGCTAATCTCTCAATAAAATCCAAGTTAGGCATTTAGCAATGAAATGAAAGTCACCGGACATTAGGGGTGTAAGGGATCATGGTTGATCCGTGATCCATAAAGATCACAGCCCACAGTTTGGAACACAGGTGACTCGCGGATTAATAATTTTTAAAAAAATTTAATCCAACATTTATAACAATTGCAGAGAGATCGCCTCCCTTGTCATTCAAATCACGTGTATAAAAGCATTTTGGCTTCCCAGTATAATATAATGATGATGGAAAAAGCTGTGTTGGGACCTAAATGCTTTCTAAGGTTATTCATTAAAGGTGTTATCTGTTTCTGCTTCTCTAGCCTGAAATAATGAATCCAATGTAAAGCTGCACAATAAAACATTAAAAGATTGTGATCTCAATTTAAAACAGCGCAGCATGAATGATAAATGGTAATGATTTGCAAATGTTAATAATCCTTCAAAGTGCTGTGTTTGATCAAGAAAGATTTCCTTTTCAGTTAGTTACAAACAGTTAAATAACACAGAAGTACTGGTGTAACATTTTATAGTTCAGATATACACACTGATGTTTATGGGAAAGGTTAAAATCACAGTTTAATGGAACTTGACGCTGGTGAATGTTGTAACAATTACATTGTGTAATCAATAGGTGGCGACAAACAACCATCAAAATTATGTAATTGAATATGTTTTTAAAAATGATACATCTATAATGAAACATGAAGTTTTGTTTAAATTGTTGAATCACTAATTGAAAATGTTGTTGTACAAGATGTTAGATTTATATATTTAGCATTATCAGCAACAGTAGCAGATTTTTTCGTAAATATTTCGTATTGAATATTTTCCTTTTTTCAGCTGTTTTTTTCCTGGCTTTTATTTTTATTAAAATTACAGGTTCTAAGTTCTGTTTGTTAAAACCACAGTTTTTTGCAGTAATATTTTTGTATAAAAGGAAAGCAAATGACATAGCTGATCCAAAAAATGGTCCAATTTGTGACTTAAAAAACCAAAGTATGATCTGAACCGTGAGATTTGTAATCCTTTATACCACTACTGGGCAGACAGAAGCCCCACCCATGACGCAAATCTATTGTGAAGTGAATTTCAGGTACGAATTAAGTGAATTAAGTGAGTAACGAGTGAATGAAGTGAGTAAACTCAAAATATTCACACGTCTATTTTACATGCAAATAGCATGATTTATTTGTGCATTTAAGGCCATTCTAGTAGATATAGGATTCTTGTAGTTTCAGTGTTAAAAGGCAGAGCAAAACAACAACTACAAAAAAGCAAAATGTCAAAAAAAAAATGTAAACAAAGAGCAAACAAAAACAAAAACAGGTTGAACCAACTCGATCTGAAAGTTAAAAAGTGATGTTTCAATGTTCAGAACACAATGTAGTATAGACCAGACCTTTAGTCTTTTAGCCAGAAATGTGGCAAATTTGAGCTTATAGGTGACTTTAAGCAGGACTGACCATGATATGTGCGATTCCACATCCTCTTGTTGACCACGTCTCCCGGAGGTCTCGAACCCGAACGATCCATAGTATCATTCAGGGCATGAGAATAAAGCATGACTCCATCGTGGAAGGACCCAGAAATCAGATTCATCTGCAAGTCAGGAAGAGAACAAATTACACACTTGCACAAATTATACACTAGCATGAAATCTTTTTAGTAATTGAGGCTCAAATTGGATTTGATTACCAGATCTCTAGATACCACACTGGCAGTGATTTTGAAGAAACTTCATCATTGCAAGGTTGTAATTCGATGACCCAAAGGAGAGTAAAAAAGAAAAATGGCAGCGTTCCTAATGCTGTCTGTCATTTTCCCCTGCTTCACTGTTTAATATCATGCATTCCTTCTGTCTTCTTTAAAACATGATGAAATACAGTTTGTTTTTTCTGCTCCAACGTGTTGATTTGAACACATGGAGTTCATATTTTCGATTAGAAAAATAAATTACAAAGTGGTGATAAGAAGTTACAAAGAGTGAGAAGTATTTCAAACTTGCTAGTTATTTACTGTACATAAAAAAGCACCATATTACACACAAAATAATTAAATAATGCAGACTGGAACTCACAGAATATAAAATGTCTAAATGGTCTCATTTGAGTAAGACTGATTGAATTTATTAAAGATGTTTTGCAGTGTGGATGCTGTAACCTGTTAACATGGGCACTGACATTAACAAGCAGCGCTAACACATGCAGTGTGAAACAGGCGGGATGAAAACCTGACAGGTCAAAATTGTGTTGAATAAAAATGTTGCATTAATATCAGTGTGTTGACATTTAGTTGGGTTGGTGAGCAACAATTTTTCAATATCCCAGAAACACTGCGGCAAGTACTAGATTTTGCCAACAACAAGCAAAATAACCACATAGATTGAAGCAGAAAAGAACCACTGAGTCAAAATTGACAGGGAAGCAGTAAGCACAAAAAAATCAATATTGACAGGGCAAAAGAAGAAATGTCAAGTGATGTCATTTTAGTTCAAGCACAGTTCAATAATGATTAGGGAAACACACCGCAGATCTATCTAGTTAGTAAATCATTCACACTGGTGAACAAAATAAATTATTAATTTAAGATTGATTCAAAAGAATCATTCATTTATTCATTCATTTATTTTCTTTTTGGCTTAGTCCCTTTATTAATCCGGGGTCACCACAGCGGAATGAACCGCCAACTTATCCAGCAAATGTTTTAAGCAGCGGATGCCCTTCCAGCTGCAACCCATCTCTGGGAAACATCCACACACACTCATTCACTACGGACAATTTAGCCTACCAAATTCACCTACACCACATGTCTTTGGACTGTGGGGGAAACCAAAGCACCCGGAGGAAACCCACGCAAACGTGGGAAGAACATACAAACTTTACACAAAAACGCCAAAAGACCCAGCTGAGGCTTTCAAAAGAATCATGTGTAATATTCTTAGAAAGGAAAACATACTGTAAATGACAACCATTCAACTTTCAAAATATAAGAAAATTGCTAAACTAGTTACCGAATACATTCCAAAAAATATTAAAACTACCTCATGCTTTTTCAGAATTGATATGGAATCCTTCTGTACTGGTAAAAGTATATATATATATATATATATATATATATATATATATCCAACATGCACTGGAAACAAATCTGACTTATTGCCGGCAATGCGAAACCAGACTCCTACTCTGTTCATGCAGGGACGAGACGGCCCTCAACAGATCGCCTCTGACCCCATACTCTCTGAGCACCCTCCACAGAATGCCACGAGGAACACGATTGAATGCCTTCTCCAAGTCCACAAAACGAATGTGAACTGGTTGGGCATACTCCCATGAACCCTCGAGCACCTAGGTGAGGGTATAGAGCTGGTCCAGTGTACCACAGCCCGGACGAAAACCACATTGTTCCTCCTGGATCCTAGGTTCAACCATTGGCCGGATCCTCCTCTCCAGTACCCTGACATAGACTTTCCCCGGGTGGGTGAGGAGTGTGATCTCCCTATAGTTGGAGCATACCCTCCGGTCCACCCTTCTTAAAAATGGGAACCACCACCCCAGTCACCAGTCTAGAGTTACTGTCCCCAACCTCCATGCGATGTTGTAAAGAAGTGTCAGCCTAGACAGCCCCACAACATCCAGAGACCTAAGATACACAGGGTGAATCTCATCCACCCCATCTGCTTTGCCACTGCGGAGCTTGCAAACTATCTCAGTGACCTCAGTTTGGGTGATGGGTGAGTCACCCCTGCATCCCCAGTCTCTGCTTCCTCAATGAAAGACATGTTGGTGTGGTTAAGGAGATCCTCAAAGTATTCCTTTGACCACATCCCCAGTCGAGGTCAACAGCTCCCCACTTTCGCTGTATACAGCGTCGATGTGGAGCTACTTTCCCCTCCTGAGGTGCTGGACAGTTTGCCAGAATCTCTTTGGGGCTGACTCATAGTCTTCCTCCATGGTTTCCCTGAACTCTTCCCAGGCCCAAATTTTTGCTTCCGCAACTGCCCGGGCTGCAACACGCTTGTCCTGTCTATACCCATCAGCTGTCTTGGAAGTCCTGCAAGCCAACCAAGCCCTGTTTGACTCATTCTGCTTGACAGCATCCCTTACTTCCGATGTCCACCACTGGGTTAGTGGATTGCCGCCTCGACAGGCAACACAGACCTTATGACGACAGCTCCTCATGGCCATGTTAACAATGGAGTCAGAGAACATGGACCACTCAGTCTCCATGGGAGGCCACCCTCTCATTCACCGGGGAAAACTCCAACACATGGCGGCTAAGTTGGGGAGCTATAAGAAAGCCCACACCAGCCCGCCGCCTCTCACCGTGAGCAACTCCAGAGTAGAAGAAAGTCCAACCCTTCTCAAGAAGTTGAGTTCCACGTCAGGATGGTCCCACGTCACTCCTTTGGGCTAAGCCCAGGTGGTTTCTGTGGAAAAAAACCCGGCCACCAGGTGTTCGCTCCCAGGGTGGGGCCCCGGCTGCGCCATACCCGATGATGTCGCAGTCCTTCATGTTGTTGAACTCATAAAGGGTTTTTGTACCGCACTTAGTCTGACCTGTCACCTAAGACCTGTTTGCCTTGGGAGACCCTACCAGGGCCATAAGCCGCCGACAACATAGCTCTTTGGATCACTCAGGCACTCAAACCCCTCCACCATGATAAGGTGGTGGTTCAGGCAGTAATTTATTTAATGAGCTAATATTTTTTATATGTAACAACAATTTGATTACAATCTATTTACAATGTAATAATAACAAAATACATCTATTTCGTATCTTAAACACACAACATTAATTTATTTTGTCACTCCCCAGTCCTGATAAATGAAAAAAAAAATTATGAAAAAATCTAATTAGTATTTCTGTCTGAACAATTTTTTTTAAAAGAATGGTTCCATTTATACAACAGTTCTGTCTGGTTCTTGGTAATCTGACTGGCTGATAGTCGTGCGATATTTTGCCAGTTACATCACACAAAGGCCTCTTCACCCTTTACTGTGTACTTCGCCCACATACAGCCAGCAACAAGCAGAGATGCTACAGTTTGACAAATATTACTGTTGTTAGACAACAAAGTATACTTTTGAGGCTTTTTAAGTCTAGGATATAGTTGTTTAGATTGCAACTATGCAGTTTATTTGTAAGAATAGTGCCTATTTTAAAAATATTTACAATTTCTGAGAGACAGCTTGTCGGAGACCAAAGATGGCTGACATTGTCTATTCACAAGATGGCGCCAGGGCTGCATAATAAGCCCTTGCTTAGTGTGTTTTCCTGAGAGCGAATAAGAAGCTGAAAAACGGAAGCATCGTGGTTTTTAAAGTGGACCGGATCGAGTTGATAAGAAGCAGTGAATAAGAAGCTGGATTCATTCTCGTTCCTCCTTATTGCAAACACAACAGCAATCTGGTAAGTTTGTGATTGCTCTGTTTTTTTTTTCTAGCTTAATTATTGTGATATTGTAACGGTTGCTTAATGTTTGATATGCATTTCGTATAAATGTCCCCTTTAAGAGGACTATTCCTGTGGTTGTTTTACCTTTGAGATGTAAGCACGCATGCTGAGGAAAAGTGTGATGGTCGCTCTACCGTTGTATCATTCTTTTATTTCAATAATGCAACAATTTATTTTGCGACAGATGTTTAAGTGTATTTTTTCTTTTTCTTTTGCCTTTTCGACTCATTGTCGTTGACTTGGATGTATATAGTCGACTATAGTTGCACTTGGGAGTCACGCATAAAGGCCAATAGGAAGAGTGAAATACTTTTGGTCTCCTTTTTTTATTCCATAAAGTCTCCGTAAACGGTAAACGCTGGGACACCTGGCACCCGTCACAATACAGACGGCAACAGAGAAATACTGTAGACTGCAATAGACTGTAGGGAGATATCTCTGTAGACGGATGGTATGTCATGTCACATTCAGCCCTATAATCTTAAAATGTGAGCAAAATCAGTGGTTTTGTCATCACCTTAAAGGGGTCACACACCAGAAGCGCCGCTTCACATTACACTATAGAGAATCATTTAAACACTAGCTCTAAAGTGATGTTGGTGAATTAGTAATGGCTTCTGCTGTTCTGACGTCAGCTGCAGATGTGAAGGAATGGCAGAAGAAAGTAGTTCCTAATACAAAAGGGTTTTTGACTGTCCGTGTCTGATTTTCTTTTTATATACAAGATTGTGTCGTCGAACTGTTGTATAAACACAATAATACATATGCTACATTTAAAGTCTTAATTAGGTTAATTAGGTTAACTAGGCAGTTTAGGGTAATTAGGCAAGTTTTTGTATAAAGAGGGTTTGTTCTGTAGACTATCAAAAGTATATAGCTTAAAGGGGCTAATAATCTTAACCCTAAAATGGTATTCAAAAAAATTCAAACTGCTTTATTCTAGCCAAAATAAAACAAATAAGACTGTCTCCAGAAGAAAAAATATTATCAGACATACTGTGAAAATTTCCTTGCTCTAGTAAACATCATTTGGGATTTTAGCACAATTATACTGTACACAACACTAGGTTAAAACCCTGTGTTCCTGTAAGCCAGATCTATCCTCCATATCACCTCTAGTGTAATCTACCAACTTCCAGTAA